TCTACACGTACATGTACACACACTGCGCCCCCACAGCTCTGTCCCTTGAGCCTGGCCATCTTCCCTTCCCCTGCCTAATGGGAAGTGACACACGTCTCTCCCCCACTCCCACCAGCCCCTGAGCAGAGGGTCCCACCCCTTTGTACTGACTCCCCAGGCACAGACTAAGTGTCCCCAGAATCCCTTCTCCCCGTTGTCTGTTTAGAACCCCTCTTGAGTTTTTGCAGAGATATCTGGCCAGTGACGATATTTCCTAAACTCCTTGCCTCTCAGTATGGCCCAGTGACCAAGTTCTGGGCTGTGAGCTGAAGCTTCTACCCCACCTCCATGGCCGCAAGCCCCCACCCCCGCCATTTCTCAGGGGCTAGGAGACACTGCCCAGTTATTCACAGGAGGACAATGCTCCCTCCCATCTAACCCTTTTGGGTTAAGAAATGTGCTCCATGGGCCAGCAACATCAGCTGGGAGCTTGTCAGAAATGCAAGCTCTCAGGCCCACTGCAGGCCTCTTGAATTGGGACGTGCTGCTGCCCGAGTGTACGTGCAAGGGAAATAAAAGCCTGTCCTGTCTGCCCCTGTGCTGAGGGCCTCTTTGCTACGGCAGCTTTGCCTGCACGGAGCCAGCATCTAACCCTGCTACAGGAGCTCCTCGCCTCACCTGCCCCCACTGATAGGTACCTTGACCAGTGGCCACTGGTTGGGCTGGTTGAGCAGCTTGACAATGGCTGGGATGCCGTAGTTGAGGCGCACAGAGTTCTGGGCCATCTCAGCCTCGGGGTGGCGGCTGGTGAGGTGGCGCAGGGCGCAGACGGCAGGCTCTGTGATGTCGTCCTTGTCACCGGCACGCAGGATGGCGTGGATGAGGGCCTCCACGCCGCTGTTCTGTGTCACCAGCGTCTTGTTCTTGCTGTTGTTGCACGTCAGGTTGGAGAGCGTGCCTGTGGCACAGGTGAGGACATTGACGTCGTCCACACTCAGCTGGTTCACCAGGATCTTCAGCACATTCTCCAGGCCCTCCTGGGGGTGAGGCGAGGGGTGACAGTGAGGGAGAAGCCAACTCCGGGGCCTTCTTAAATGTGTCCGAGGGGAATAGGTGCCCCAAAGGGTCTCCCTGTCCGTGCGTGCCCAGAACCTTCTATCCCCGTTGCCTGCTGGTGCCCTGTGAGAAGCTTGGCAAGGCTGGGGAGCTTGCTCTCTGACCCACAGCTCGTGGGCTGGATCAGAACCCAAGCCTGTCTCTAAGCTCCACATGCTTTTCCTCCAACCCATCTGCCCCTACCCAGGGCCTCCTAGCCCCAGGCAGAGCCCTATTCAGGCCAAAGGAGGCCTCCAGGCCAGGAGGAAATTGTTTTGAGGACATGTGCCTCAGTGGCCCAGCTGACCCTCTTACACGTCTCACCCTCACCGTTCCGGATCTTCACCCTGCCTCATCAGAGGCCCCCAGGCCAAGTCCAAGGAAAAACCTCTAACCCAGAAGCCTCGCTTTTCCCAAGGATGGCTCTATGGGCCTTATGGTACGATGGAAAAACTCCAGGCTTGGGGTCGGCAGGTGGCATGGTGGTTAAGGACGTTGAACTCCCACATGGCTGATCATGGTTGGAGTCCGGGGCCTGGCAGCTTGCTTTCTCACTTTCCCTCTCTTTCTCTTGCTCACTTGTTCTGTCCTTCTCTGGTCAAATTAAAATAAATGAATGAGGGGCCAACAGGTGGTGTGGTAGTTAAGAGTGCTGGAATCCCACATGGCCAACTGTGGTTCAAGTCCCAGACCTGACAGTTTGCTTTTTCACATTCTCTCTCTCTCTCTCTCTCTCTCTCTGTCCTTCTCTGGTCAAATTAAAAAACAAATGAATAAATAAAGCTAAATCAAAAAAATTAAAATAAATGAATAAATAAATAAAAAGAGTGAAATACATTTAAAAACAAAAAACAAAACAATAACAACAACAAAAAAACTCCAGGCCTCAGGGACAGATAGTGGTGGATTCAAATCCCAGCTGTGCTATTTATGAGCTGTGACCAGAGCCATTACTTAACTCTCTGAACCTCAGTTTCTTCATCCAGCCAATCGGGCCCCACACTCTACCTCTAGGTCATTGAAAGGGTTAAATGAGCGCACATCCACAAGCACCAAACAGAGCTTGGCAAAGGGAGGTGCTCAGTAAACACAGTGTTGATGGTGGAGGCTGGCGGGCATTGTAGTCTGGTTGTAGAGGACCCAGGGGATTGCCTTGGAGCTGCATTTGTCTTTAAGATGTGTTTTCAGCCTCTGTGGCCCTAACACTCTCCTGGCACACACCTGCTCCTCTCCAGGGCCCAGGTCCAAACTGTTCCTTTGCTGCTCCCAAAGTCCAGCTTCAAAAACATCAGCCCTCTTTCCTTTCCCTTCCAGAATCCCTAATAGAGATCAGGGAGGCTTAGGGGACTCCCTTGGCCTTATGCTAAAGGGATGGAGGTCTTCAGGGCATGCATTTCTGTCCTCGGCCACAAAGGAAGAGGATTTAGAGCCCCAGTGCTTCCTCCACACCTGATAGGAGGCTGGATGGAACCCTCACCTGCTTGGTGGCCACGTCCGAGAGGTTGCGCAGGGTCCACAGGCAGTTCTGCACAAGGCGGGGGCTGTTGCTGGTCAGGTGCTTGCCCAGGGCCTGCATCCCACCTGGGGCGGGGAACGGAGATCTTATTAACCACAGGGAACAGAGGTGACTGAACCTGGCCACTGGGAAGGGCCACCACCCCAGTTCTTCCGGACACACAAGCCACCTTCAAGGCCAGGATACTCACCAGCCTCCACAATGGCAGGCTTATTGCTGGGACACACAGACAGCACCTTGAGGACGCGGCTGGTGGTCCAGAGCAGTTTCTCGTAACTGTAGTTACGCATGATCTGCACAAGGGCCTGGGGTCCTCCATTGGCTAGGATGATCAGCTATGGGGACACGGAGGACAGCAAGTATGAGACAGAGAACACAGGCAGAGTAAAGGAAGCAGGGGAGGGAGCAAATAGCTGACAGTTGTCATAACTGAGCTTCAGCTAAAACCCAAACAGCTTTTGTGATTATAAGTTAAATTTTGAAAAAAGGGTAATACCCACTGCTGGCAAGGATGTGGCAAAACTGTACTCACACCCATTGTCACTGATGGCATTAGAAATGAGTACAGTGCTTTAGGAAAATAATCTGAAATCCCAGAAGTGTTGAAAACATTTAGTTAGTGGCATGGTGGATAAGGGCACTGGACTCTCACATGGCTGACCATAGTTCAAGTCCTGGACCTGGTGGCTTGCTTTCTCACTTTCTCTTTCTCTCTCTCTGTGCCTTTCTAGTCAAATTAAAATAAAGTTAAATAACTCTTAAAAAAAAAAATGTTAGCCCCATTGATGAAGAATTTTCTCACTCTTTGGGGAAAGCTATATATATAAAGATGTTCATTATAGCATTGTTTATAAAAGCAGAAAACTGGGCCAGGGGCTGGCAGGTGGTGTGGTGGTTAAAGGCAGTGGATTCCCACATGGCTGACTGCAGTTCAAGTCCTGGACCTGGTGGCTTGCTTTCTCACTCTCCCTTAATATCTCTCTCTCTCTCTCTCTCTCTCTCTGGTCAAATTTAAAAAATGACAACAAATGAAATTAAATAAATAAATAAATATTTTAAAAGAAATTAAAAGAAAACGGGGCCAACTGGTGGCATGGTAGTTAAAGCAGGTGGATCCCACGTGGCCAACCACACAGTTTGAATCCCAGACCCCACAGCTTGAAAAATACACTGGGCACATGTGCGCCCAAAATCCCAAAAGGAAAATGGAGGGGAAGGGATTTGGGCATGACAATTCCCCTGGGGGAATGCTTTCTCACTTTCTCTTTCTCTACCTCTGTCTCTTTCTGACAAGTACACATGCCCTATAGCAGATTTTAAAAATAAAAAATAAAGATGGAAAATTGGGAGCAATCTAAATGCTCTCACTTAAAGAGACTTAAGGATGAGAATAAAGTCTGGGACTTCCACTTAATGAAATGCTGTTTGCCATTAGAGAGGGTAGTTTTTTGTTTTGTTTTGGAGGTAGGGTCTGGCTATGTTGCCCAGACGGGCTTCAAACCTGAAATCCTCCAAGTAGCTGGGCCTATCGGTATACATGCTCTACCGCGCCCAGCTTGAGGGCAGTTTTGAGGACAATACAACAAAAAAGGATTTTAGGAACATCATGTAGAAAACAGATAGAGACCCAGCAGGTGGTGTGGAATTTAAGATTGCTGGATCCCACATGGCCAACTACAGTTGAGAATCATGCCAAGCAGGTATGCACACATGCCCAAAATCCTGAGAGGAAAATGGTGGAAGGGACTTGCAGCATGGCCATCCCCCCGAACGCTGGAGAGTGACTTTTCACTCCCCTCAAACCTCTCCACTAATATTTACATTTACATTTACGCTACAGTAAACATTAAAAAAAAAAAACATTGCTATGATTACAACTATGTGTACATATTTGTAAATATACCCTTAGAACAGCTATGAAGGAAGCACATCAATATGATGGCAGAATAAGAATGATGGGTGATTTCCTTTTATTTTTCTTCTCTTCAAAATAATAATTTTGAGGGAACCAGCAGTTAGCGTAATGGCTATGTTGCTGGACTCCCACGTAGTCGACCGCGGTTCGTGTCCCGGACCCGGTGGCTTAAAACTCACGCTGGGCGCGTGTGCATGCGTGCCCAAGATCCCGAGAGGAGAATGGAGGAGAAGGGATTGCGGCGTGACCATCCCCCCTGGGGGGTGATTTCTCACTTTCCGTCTCTATGTCTCTCTCTGTCTGTCTGGCGAGCGCACGCGCCCTACAGTGAAAATCTCTCCAAAAAAAATAAAAATAAAATAATAATAATAATAATAATTTTGAGTAATTCCATAATATGCCATTTGTTTTCATTGCCAGAAGGCACACGTGCTTGCCAGACAGATGAAGGTGAGGGAGACAGCACCCCCCATGGTCATGCTATAACCCCTCCTTCTCCGTTTCTCCAGCCTGCTGGGATCTGGTGCATGCACACATGCCCATGTTTTTTAAGCCACTGGGGCCAGGATTTGAACTGCAGTCAGCCAAGAAGGATCTGACTCCCTTAACCAGCCGGCTACCGGGCCAGCCCAGCGAGACATGTTTATCCACACATACATACATGCTTCATCTAAAAGGAGAAGGGAGACTGTCCTGCAGCTGCAGCAGCATGGAAGGTGATGCAATGGTGGACTTCGGGCCTTGGCAGGGACCGGAGAGGACCCACCTTACTCTCCTGGTTGCCGTAGGCCAGGAGCTGCAGACAGTCAGTGGTGATGGCCAGGAACTTGGGGTTGTTCTTGTTGAGCAGGGGCACCATCTTCTGTAGCCCGTCCGCCAGGCGCACAGCCATCTTGGCGCCCTCCTGATACAGCAGCAGGTTGTGCAGGGTGGTAATGGCATAGAACAGGACCGACTCCACAGGGGAGCTGAGAGGGTGGGCAGGCGGTTAGCCTGAGTCATTCCCAGGCTCTGCAATCACGTGGGTCTGGGATGGGTCCCCACCTCCTCTAGGAAGCCTGCCCCACCTGCCAACACCCCTGTGGATACATCCTTTTACTAGAATCTCTCTGTTCCTTGAGGCCAGCCCCACTTTCATGCACAGAGCACAGAGTACTTCTTCTGTTCCCCATGACTTCCTACTTCTGAGCTCCCAGCCTGGGGCTGAGTGCACAGTAGGTCCCCCAAACATCTATCCCCACTGAGTAACTAGCATGTGGAAGGCATGGGCTAAAGAGGCCCCGCAAGGGGTCCAGGGGGTCCCTCAGGGGGCTCCCAGCCTGGGACAGGGATAAGGAACAAGGTCAATCAACATCAGCACAGGGTCAGGAAAGATAAAATTTGCAAAGGACTTTGCACATGCTGTTGCTTCTGCCTAGAACATTCTTTCCTTCATCTGCAACCACCAAACCCCAATTATTCATCAACCTCCTGCTGCCCAGCAATTCTACCTCTGGGCAATCTCAGATGCTCTTCTGCATTGTGTCCTGATAACTAACCTGCTGTTTAGCTGCCTATCTCCCTTGCCACGCTGAGGGTAACTGAGCACCAGGTCGGGGCACGGGTCTGCAGCTGGCTCCTAGCAGTTACTCCGTATGTTATATGAAGCTCAGAGAAGGGAGGGGAGGCCCCAGACTCCTGCAGTGAGTAGGGGTGAGCACCTGAGCATGCGGACCAGGGCAGGGATGCCGCCCGACTTGAAGATGGCGAGCAGCCCCTCTCGGTGGTGGGAGAGGTTGTGCAGGATACTGGTGGTACAGCGGGCCGTGTCCAGGTCACTGGTGTTCTGCATGGTGCGCACGACGGCTGCTACCAGCTGCGGAGAGCCCATCAGGGCCCGTCGCGACGCCTCCTTCTTTGACAGCTGGTTGACAATCATGGCTGCCTTTGTCACCACCACCTGGAGCGTGGAGAAGGGCAGGGGATGTGAGCAGGTGGGTAAGGCCTGGCTCCCACTGTGGGAAGGAGTGGCCAGGAGACCCTTCCACAAAGCTATACAGACCCGAGTCAGACTCTTCACACTCATGGGGAGCTGACTCACGACCTCCTCCCCTACAAGGTCTCCCCCTCCCTGCCCTGCCCCCACACCCCACAAGGCCCCTTACGGACCGGGTCCTCGTCATTGAGCAGTTTGGTGAGCTCAGGTAAGGCCCGGGTGGCCAGCTCGGCATCGTCCTGGTAGTTGATGAGGTGTACAATGGCCGACTTGAGCATCTGCGACGGCTCTGCCAGTCGCTGCAGGTTGGTGGTCTGCCCCTCGACCTGGGTGGCCAGCAGCAGTGAGCTGTCTTCACCCGTCACGCCGGGGCACATTGCTTCTCGCACCCGCTTGGCTCTGGCCGTGGTGGACATCTGGTAGTCCAGGTCACCTGGGGGCCAACAGGACAGGAACTAAGTTGCAGGAGACAGGAGAGGAAGCAGGGGACACAGAGGAGCAGGGCAGGCCACAAGACAGCCTTAACTGGGTTCTCTGGACTGTCTCTACCCTGACCAAAGCCCTAGCACACCACTCGCTGCTCTGCCTCTCCCCAGGGACCCCGGGAAGGTAACCATTGCCTTGGTTACCTCGTCCGTACATGGGGCACCTGTTCTGTCCACCCCAGGGAGATCCTTTTGCCAATTAAATGAGATAATAGTCGTGAATTGCTCTGAAAAGACAGGATTCATATGCCTGGCACCTAGCACTAGAGAATGGTAATGGTAATAATTATTAGGAATAGCAGGGCTGGCAGGTAGCATGGCGGTTAAGGTGCTGGACTCTCATATGGCTGACCGTGGTTCGAGTCCCAGACACGACAGCTTGCTTTCGCACTCTCCCCAACCCCCTCCTCAGTTAAATTAAAACAAATGAATAAATAAATTTAATTAAATTAATAATTCTATTTTTTTTGAGAGGTTTTTCACTATAGGGCGCGTGCGCTCGCCAGACAGACAGAGAGAGACAGAGAGACAG